TCCAAGTCATTTATAAAGACGTTGAACAACAATAGTATCCTGTGGCATCCCACTTGTCAATTTTTCCATTCAGTATATGTATTTTAAAAAATATCCTAATTCCCACATTTGTGACAAACTTCCTAATTTTATTCTTTTATTTCTTTACCTATAATTAAATGCTAGCTCACATGACAAATCAGCACAGTGCACAACACTAAACAATTTGGAAAATGAATACTTTGTAAGAGGAAACCCTACCTGCCAAGGTTCTACATATCGCAGGGCAAGTCTTCCCCCAGCATCTCTTCCTTTGCGGATGGCTCCAGCCAAGTGCATGCTATTCAAGGCATGTGCCAAAGCATAGACAGCATTATAGATACTGTAGCTGTGGCCAGTCATGCTCATTTCAAAAACTGGTGCAGGGAGGCTTTCCAGAATTTCCTCTCCAGTACATGCAGCACGAATTACTTTTAAGAGACTGGAGTTTGAAACTAAGCAACTGAACGCATGTTCCCAGAAATCTTTGATAAAACCATTTCTCCCCATCCAATCAGGATATATGTCCTGAAGAAAGTCTTGAAAGTTGTGAATCTCCTTGGAGTGAATCGCAAAGGAGATAGCACCATGGAACATTTGTGTATTAAAATAAGCAAATTTTTGAAGGACATATAATATGAAATCAATTTGGGCTGTTGTAATCCATACTTTTCCTGCCCGTAACTTCTTAGGAGAAAATAGTAGCTCAGCTACCTCCATTGTCTTTATAGCACTTGATAACCATATAATAGATAGACTTTCTCCATATATAAGAACTGTGTTGGCTTTGCTCATCATGAAATTTGGTAACAAAACCCTTTTTTCACCAAGCGTTTCTAGCATGTTACCGGAATAATGCATATTTGGTTCGACTCGTTCTGTGAATTCTGAACAGATTCCATTCTTGAAAAGCATTGGTTCAATTGTCTCTAAGAAGCGCTCTCCGGCATCATTAGCTGGAGTGATGAGCCCAACCCATTTCCACCTGAAATGCAGAAGTAACTGGATAATTCCCTGATACTGAAGGCCTTCATTGGGGACCATGCGGTAAAAAGAAGGAAACTTGGTTTGATCATTTATGGCTGGTTCAAATGAGCCATATGAAATCTGAAAAAGAGAAAAGCCAACACTTTCCAAATGGAAACAAGAACTCATGCTATTCCAGTTTCTTTGAATAGAAATAGACATCCTATATATCCGAAATGTACTGAGTTTAGGGAGAGCAGCAACCTCAATTTATATATAAAAACACAGAGAACCTTGCTCAATTGTTTCTGCAGATATTTAGTACTGTTATTGTTATTATGACATCATCACAGCTATGCTTGTACACATTGATAGAGAGCAGCATTTATCATTGTTCTATTAAATGTCTGCTAAGTGGATAGAGAGAAACTCCAAGGTGGAGGTGGGGCAACAGAAACTATTGATCATGTTCTTTTGCTCTGTAACCTTTATAGTGACTGTAGAGAGAGGTTGATGCTCCATCTACTAAGAACTCATCCAGGAAGATCTACAGTATTCGGAAATCCTGAAGATCATCATAAGATTATATATATTATTGTTCTCTGGCCACAATAAACCACACCATCATATAAAATATCACTAAAATACAAAAATACAATACCAATCATTTTCAGCAAAACTCAAAAAAACTGTAATGAAATCCAGCAATGCAGCAAGACAGCATAATACTGGCACCTCTGTATCTCTCTCTGAAATGCCAAATGCAAGAACAATAACAAGAAAACAGTGTTTCTAATTAGCCTCTGAAAGTGAACAGTGTTGAATAACATCATACTTCCTCAGGAAGGGAATTTCATAGGAACATTCTTAGTTAATGTGTCCTGAGTTATTTATGCCTTTGTACACCAGTATCAATGTCATAAATTGGTAGCTCACAGGCAGCCAGTGCAGTCCTTTCAGGATTGAAGTAATATGGACCAATCTAGGTGCCTCATTTACGAACCTGGCACCTTTGCAACAATCTTCCATTACATCTACTAAATACACATCACCCTTCTTACACACATTGTTGGATATGCATACTACGCCCCCATCCCAAATATATCCACATATTACATCCCTTTTTCCTTCTTCCAATTTAACACTCCATATTACGAATTAGTAGATTCCTACTACAAGGAAACGATAACAGTGAATTATGGTACAAAATCTCCATTTTCCAAAACCCATATTCTACCTGTGGAATCTTGTAAAGGCCTAACACATTTGCCATGCACCAGGTAGTATCAAAGCCAAGTCCCCCAATGACTCCTATTACATTTTTCTGGATAACACAGTTGTAGTTGGGAAGAAAGTGATGTGATTTAAAGAGCAGGTCCAAAGTGGTTCGGTATGTCATTCTTGAATTAAAATAGCTATCATAGCTGTGGAACCCAAGAGAGACATTGGGCAATATCCTGGGATTCTCATTGATTTCATAAACAGCAAATACGAAGGCCAGCATGTGCTGGTAAAACTTTGTCATCACCCTGCAAATGAAGTGAGTTACCATTTCACGGGAAAAATTAAACAGTGCACATAACCTATATATAAGAGTTTAATCTGCCTGCCAACAAAGAGGCAGCACAGCTGGCAAGGATTATTTGGGGTTTTTAAAGACAATATTCAGACACTCCTGTTTCTTAAAATATATATCAAAGTGTTCTCTACAGCTGCTGCACACTTCGTTGACATCTTCATGAAACTATCTATTGATGATTTCTTACAACCACTTGAGACCCCATGAGCATAGAAGTGAGATTACTATCTTAGGTCCATCACTTAACACTTGCTTACAGTGAATTAGGTTTGCCATTTCAATGCCCATGCACCCAGTTTGAAGAGACCATTTTGGAGCTCTTTATAATCCTTGTTTGTTTTCTCTATCCTGAACATTTTGGTATCATAAGCAAAACTGAGTACCTCACTTCTTGGCTGTACGTAGAAGGGCTCTTTTTAAAAATTCTATCCCCTTTCTCTTTATCCTACTCCCTTTTCACACTGTCTTTACAGCATTGGATTAAAAAAGCACTTAATGTTAACTGACAGTATGTGCATAGCATATGTTCATGGAGATTTCTAATAACCCCCCCCCCCAATTCATTTAAAAACTAAACTTCTAATGCTATTTCCCTGCCAAATCAATCAAAGTTTTCTTCAGTCAGATATAATGTATAAACAATAAATAAAATAACATTAAGTACCGGTTACTTACATTGGGATGCCAATGAAGCTTTGAAAAGGGTGTTTCTTGAAGGAAAATTTGGGGACTATGTAATAGATATGAGATGCTATTGCACCAATGACCAGGTCACCTGGCTCATGCCACTCGTGTGGAACAGGAATAGGGTGATTTGTTTTGCATTTAACACTTTGGACTTGGGGCACCATATTGGGGAGCAGCAGAAGCAGCAGGAGGAACATCCTTCTATGCATAGACTCCTCTATTTCCCTCTACAATTATTACTGTCATCCACCTGCTTCAAATAAGATAGATTTGGGGGCAGTTGACACTGTCAATTTGGTACTTAAACAGACATGTGCCCAACTTATTGTTAACTCAAACTCTGTCACAATATAATGGCATGGGTGACAAATAAGATACATGCCTCAAATACATAATTTGATTCAAGACTTATAGATTAAAAGAGGGAAACTGATAACTGACAAGTAACAGAGCCCAGCCTGTCTCCCCACCCCCTTACTACAGCTGTATATGGAGCACTGAAGAATTTATAATCATGTCAGGCTTGCTCGTTGATTCTTTTTTCCACCCTGGAGTTTCGGCCAGGAGAATTGATTATGGTAATTTTAATAATTACAGGGGAGAAAATCACTTGTGCGGTGCTTTTGGAGTCTATGGCACATCAGCAGTAGAGGATGACAATCGTATTTGTCACATCACAGAATCAAAGATTAAGATTGGACTTGCCAGGTCATCTAGTCCACTCCATGCCAATCCTTGACATCCACAAGTAAGAACAATAAAACCCACTGATGGGCAGGCATCAATCTGCTTCCTAAAAATCCCTTCCTAAGAATATTTTTAGAGTTGAACCCACCCCATCCTTTCTCCACTTGCCTAATTTGTTACAACTGGGGGCTGCTACACTATTCCACCTATGTAAGATGTATTGGACATTGTTTGCTATCATACTAACGGCATACTGGAAACAATTCTGGAGAGAGTTCTAATGTTATCAGGAGGTAGGGACACTGGTTAATAGTGTCTAACCACTTTAGAAACAACACATCTGATCTGAGGCAATCTGACATGGTTGAGAAGCTCCCTGCCACCAGTCTTTCACTCAGATAAGAAATGTAATTCAGTAGACTGAAAGGCTTGCCCTACTAGTGTAAATCAGTAACATCTAATATGGTTCCCTCTGGATATTGTTGCACTATGGATACCCTCATCCTTGATAACAATGGTCAGTGGTAGGCTGATAGGAGTTCTAGTCCAACAATTTATGGAGCGTATTAGATTGGCTATTCCTGGTGTAAAGAAAGTTGTGGTATGTAGAGAAAGGTCTCATGCTTTGTGTGATTTTTTTTCTTTCAGAGATACTTCAGATCTTAGAGCCTTCTGTGCCTGGAGCACTCCCTAAAGCCAAACCAGTCATTTAATTCATCCTGTGTCTACTCAGGTGTGAGATTCAAGAAGTGTAGAGGTACTCGTTCACCCTATGTGTAGATTATTTTGAAGCGCTCCAGAATTTTTCCTGTGCCTAGACTGATCTGCTTCAAATGTCTTATTGAAAGTGATGTTGGATCGTATCCACAGTTTCAATCCTTCACATAGTCCCAATTCAAATGAAAAACATATGTTCCTATGTGGAATAACAAGAACATAAATGATAATATGATTCCTTCTATTATTTACATTTTTTTCAACTTCCTGACTAGGAAAGGTGCAATGAGACTGTTAATTGTCAGCAAGGCCAGGTAGCCTAAGACCCCCAAAAAACTTCTGTCATTTATATCTTTCTCCGTATCAATTGCTCTCTGTTGTTTAACTCAGGCCTCATCACAATAATGTAGCATTTAGGGGAAAAGATGCAAGCCAGTAATCCAGCACTGGAAGCCAAGATGGAGAAGATCTCCACAGCCACCATGTATTTTCCTCTGGTGCTCAGGTAAGTTGGAATGAAAGAGAGCCAAACACTGCAAAAGACCAACATGCTGAAGGTGATGAACTTGGCTTCATTGAAACTGTCAGGTAACTTTCTGGCTAAGAAGGCCACAGTGAAGCTGACAATGGCCAGGAAACCCATATAACCCAAGACACAGTAGAACATGAGGACTGACCCTTCATTACATAGAAATATAATTCCTTCCCTCATTGAGTGCATGTCCAAATCTGGGAATGGAGGAGAGATTGTCAGCCAGAGTGCACATATCACTACTTGAGTTTTAGAGCAGGAAAGGACTATGGAATAAGCCAATCTTTTCCCCACCCATTTCCTGATACTGGATCCTGGCTTAGTAGCCATGAATGCCAAAACCACTGATATAGTTTTGGCCAAGATGCTAGAGAGGGCCACAGAGAAGATGATGCCAAAAGCCGTTTGTCGGAGAAGGCAGGTCACCTTATTAGGTTTTCCAATGAACAACAAAGAACAGAGGAAACACAAGAGGAGGGAGATGAGGAGAATGTAGGTGAGGCTTCTGTTGTTGGCTTTGACTATGGCAGTGTCCCGATGCTTAATGAAGATGCCCAGCACCAGAGCTGTGATCAGAGAAAATAAAAGTGCAGTGGAAGTTGAAACAATCGTCAGTACTTCATCAACAGCTAAGAAGTTTGGTATCTTAGGAATGCATAGATCCTGGCCTTTGTTTGGGTATAGATCCTTTGCACAACTTGCACAATTTTCTAAATCTGAAAAGAAGTTAACAAAATATTGAACCAGAATAGTTCCGAATATTAAAATCTGTATCAGAAGCAGTCCACCAAACATTATATTTCACCATGCAAAATTTGATACCTTTCTGCCCAAGATTCCTACAAATCCTGCACATAGTCTGGAATTTTCAACAGAAGCAGCATGTTTGTCCTAGATGTACAAGCATTCCCTCATAGCCTGCTTTTAAATACCATAGGTTCTTTATTTGATATATTAATCAGCAATTAATAGGTTGTAGAATGAGTGTCATCCCACCAAATCATACTCAAAGTAGTCCCACTGAAATAAATAGACTTAAGTAATATGAAATAAATACATAGATTGATTTCAGTGGGTCGATTCTGAGTATTACTATTGCCCAATACATTTTAATACTAGAAAATCCTGATCCCTTATTTTTTAATCCTGAATAATAACGACATTTTTACTGGCTCTCTTGTTAATGCCATAAAATCTTTATGCGATGCTCATAGTGATTCTTATGTAATTACTGGTTTGTGTTTGAAATATTAATCCCTACATGTTGTACTAGTTTGGCTGATCTGTGCTGCATAAGTTTATTTTTTTATATAGATCCCCACTTTACTTAGACTTTCATAACTTCTCATTCTTGTTCCAAGGCAGATCACAAGCTGAAAGGAAGGACACAGGCCAGCAACATGGTCCACCATAGCTTCTGCCTGGGTGCTCATCCCTTGTCAATATGTATTGAGTCTTGCCCATGTTTTCCATAACACTGTGTCCCATGTGATTCTTCTCTCACATGCTTGGTCTGAATGATTTCAAAATAACAATTCATTATCCTCCAAGTATAAATGCACTTTCTAGTGTATTGAAATGTGCCAAAAATGTACAAGCATTCCCATGGTACTTGATATTTTGTCTTGGGCAAGCCTCCTTTTATCATCCTGAACTACTTTTGCAAAACTTGAACTTTCTCTCTTTTATGTCTTCTTAACCCAAGTTCCTCTTCAGTTGCTGGAAACTTCTTAAGTCTCATAATTGCTTCTCAAGGTCTCCTTCCTCTTTGACATTTGATCCTAGTAAGAATGTCTCTGCTGCATGCATTTCTTTCTCTGGATCGTAAGTGTTTTTCAGGATACTTTCTCATACACAAAGCAATTGATTTTTGCAATGTGTCTGATACTTCAGCTAGAAGCTTTTCCATTATGGGTTGGATTGAGATTCATGGTTTATCCAAACTTCCTCTTCTCTCTCAATACCAGAAATTAAATATACCATCAATGGAAGCTCCTTTTATGGATTCTAAATCACAGGTTCAGCCATTATTACACTATGCTGTGAATTTGTTTGTGTTAAAATGTATTATATGCACAATATTTTCCTGAAGATGACTACAGTGGTACTTTGGGTTACATACGCTTCAGGTTACAGACTCCGCTAACCCAGAAATAGTACCTCGGGTTAAGAACTTTCCTTCAGGATGAGAACAGAAATCGGGCTCTGGTGGCAGCAGGAGGCCCCATTAGCTAAAGTGGTGCTTCAGGTTAAGAACAGATTCAGGTTAAGAACAGACCTCCGGAATGAATTAAGTACTTAACCCAAGGTACCACTGTAACAGAAAATATGAAGAAACTGTACCTAAATGAACACTGAGAACAATGTACAACATAATTTTAAAAAATGTGCCAAGTTAATTATAACAAACTTGCAAAACAGTCTCTCATATTTTACTTCAGTAACTTGGGCAATCTGGTCTACCATGAAATAGCATGTCCTACCCTTCTCGTTTGAGACCATCCCATCTGGACATGGAGCACAATCATAGCAGCAAAATTTCTCTCCTTCTCTCTTTTTCATCCCATAACCAGGTTGGCAGATGCCATTACATTCTGAAAGGGGTGGCACCTATCCAAAGATATTGGAAATTTAGCATTGAATAAAGTTAAGGGAAGAGTTTAGTATTAAATAGTTTGTAGAATTCTTTGTCCATCTGATATCTATCATGCTTTAAGCAATAGTACACAGGGGCACATTCCTTCTGTATTCAAACTCAGAAAGATTCAAAGTTCTTTACTCAGTCTTATAAACTAGATTTGCATGTCATTGAATGTTACAAACTGAAGGCTTGACTCATAAATCTCACATAAAGTAATGACAGGAAACATCTATTTTCTGTAATACATGTAAGGCCCTGCCAACATTTTGTTGTCATTCCTTATTTCTTTATACCCTTTTATACTGCTCTATCAGGCATTGTCCTCTCTTGGTGGCTAAAAAACATACACCATATGCAAATACAATTTCAATAAAACAATATTATATAAAACACAACCTACAACCTATAAGTCAGCTTATACCAGCAGCCAGGTGGAACGGAAGCGTTTTCATCCTATTTCTGAAGGACAACAGTGACAAAGCCAAATGAACATCTCAAGGGAAGTATTTCCATAGACCAAGAGCCACCACAAAAAAGTCCTGTCCCTAGTAGCTGTGTATGTACAGAACTCATTTAAAGAGTAGCCTAAAAAGCAGAACCACCAATATGGATCTTAAGGAGTTGGGCGTGCTCATGTGCATAAAGAGAGTTCTTCAAATGATACCTTGCCACCAATGAAATATTCACCTTTCATATAAAAGCCATGTCTACAATATGCCCATAAAATATGGCATTACACTGATATTCAATTTTAATCATGCATTATGTTAAGAAATGCTTTTTTAAAATTACAAGCGACTCTCCAAATTGGGGGGGGGGCTACGTTTTGGGCTCCCACACACATAAGTGAAATGCATGTAAGTGGGGAGCATCCTGCAGAGTTGCCATGACTCATGAGGCAATCCTCCCCAGAGCCCATCAGGTGGGGAGGCTGAGAAGCCTCAACAAAGTCCCACTGTACCTCTGGCTTTCAAGGAGACCATTTCTAGAGCCTTAAGAGCAGTGCTCCTCCCCCCCAAGAGGGTACGCAAGGGTATGAACCGGCACCTCTTTTTGTGTTGTTAAAAAGTGTGGCACTTACTGTAACAACTTCGTGATGAGTACTGGCACCTATATTTCCAGGAAAAAACCACTGCCTAAGAGGATGTTCTTTTGGGCTACGGGGAGAGTCTCCTCGTGAGCCATGAGGACTTTCCAGCTCTTTCCTGACACTTCTGGGTTACCCGTACTGCACAAGTATGCAGACATATGCAAATAAATTGTGCATAAGTGGGGAGTTGTTTATACTTCATATCATTTTCTGGGTGACAGTGAATACCTGAATTCGAGAAGTTGCGTCTCCACCCCCATCATTCTGCCCAGACACTGAGGTCCAGCTTTGAAGGCCTTCTGGCAGTTCCCTCAGTGCAAAAAGTCAGGTTACAGGGGACCAGGCAGAGGGCCTTCTCAGTAGTGGTACCTGCCCTGTGGAATGCCCTCCCATCAGATGTCAAGGAAATAAAGAACTATCTTGACTTTTAGAAGACATCTGAATGCAGCCCTATTTAGGGAAGCTTTTAATGCTTAACTTTTTTTTTGTTTTTAATAACCTGTTGGAAAGCGCCCAGAGTGGTTAATAATAATAATAATAATAATAATAATAATAATAATAATAATTGCATTATTATCCACCTGAGTCAAACTTCTGTGCCATTCAATTCTGGCCTCATCAATGGTGAATTCTTTCCCAGGAGGAGCCTGAGGGTCCAGCCTTCCCACTTTTACTCTGATGTAGGATTTATTTGGGAATGTGATCAAATTTGTAATATCAAATCCAGCGTCCAATTCTCCATGTTCATTCAATGTAATTTCATCTCCAGCACTGTTGTTGAATGACATTCCTTGAAGAAATGAATGGAGCTAGGTGGAAAGTGAAAGAGAATCAAATGGACTAACAAAAATAGGAGTTGGTTATAGAAATAGCTTTCCTAGATGGATTTTACTTATTTTTCTCTTACAGAGAACCTTTACAATTCACAATACAAAGTTTCTGACTTTCAGTAGCTGACAAAGGAAGAGAGTGTAAAATCATGAATCACTTTAAATTCAGTTGAAGTTGCTGTCAAAATAACTTTCAAAAAGAATAATGGAGGATAAGTTAGGGTATAAACATTATCATCTGAAGGGAAGGGAAGAATCTGAAAAGCATGACAAGAGCTGGGTGCTCATGTTCTGTAGACATTGCTTTGTTAATGGAATATTGGTATCACAGAACTGTCAGTACAGAAACATTACCTTCCAGGGTTCCACTTTCTGATAAAATAGCTTGTCTCCACCCTCCATTTTTCTGAAGTTGGTTTTAGTTGAGGAAGTCATATGTAAGGCTTGTGCCAAAGCATAAACTGCATTATAGATACTGTAGCTATGGCCAGTCATGCTCATTTCAAAAAATGGCGCAGGAAGGCTCTCCAGCATCTCCTCCCCAGTACATTTGTCTGCTGGCCCAGTGGAATTTGAAAGTGAGCAACTAAATGCTTGTTCCCAGAAATCGTTGATGAAACCATCTGCATCTGCCCATGAAAGATTTATATTCTTAAGAAATTCTTCGAAATCCCAAAGCTGCTTTGCATGAATTGAGAAGCAGATAGAACCATGGAACATTTGTCTATCAACCTCTGTAATCTTTTGAAAAGTGTACGATGTAAAATCAATTTGGGCTGTCGTAATCCAAACCTTTTCTGGAGATAACATCTTTTTATACTGTGGATTGATTTGCTGAAGTATCTTGACTACTCCTATAACACCTCCCAACCATCGAACAGTTCCACTGTCTCCATATATAATAACTGCTTTGGCCTTGCTCAGCATGAAAGTTGGCAAATTATTCAGTAGGTCATCAACCATTTCAAGTACATTACCTGAGAAATATAAATGTTTTTGAACTCTTTCTGTGAATGCTGAACATATTCCATGCTTGGAAAGTATTGGCTCTATGGTCTGCAAGAATGTTTCTCCCCCTTTGTTGTTTATAGCAATGAGCCCGACCCATTTCCATCTGAAATGCTGAAGTAACTGGATAATTCCCTGATACTGAAGGCCTTCATTGGGAACCATGCGGTAAAAGGAAGGGAACTTGGTTCCATCATTTATGGCTGGTTCAAATGAACCATATGAAATCTAAAACAACAATCAGACATTTTAGAGTGGAATCAGCGGTCCATAATCCTTACATTTATTATTTTCCCCCTTTACCCTGCAATCCTATAAATTTCCAACAATTTAAGCAAAACTCTGCATTATTTTATAGGGACAGACACACCACACACCCACTTTTGCTCACTCATATCACTTGTGCAACAATTCCGCTTACATACAATAGACTTAATTTAATAGAATTCAGAAAGCCATCTTGCCCTTATCATTCACATCTCTGATTATCCATGTTATACCCCCCAATCTGTTCCACATAATTCAGATTTTATTCTTTCCCATTCAAGTTCCTACTAGAAAGGAGAAAGAGAGTGAAAAAGAGATTAAAGGAAATCCCTCTTATCCCCAGACTCAAATCCTACCTGTGGAATCTTGTAAAGACCTAAAATGTCTGCCAAGTGTGAAGAAATATCAGACTCAAGTCCTCCAATTACTCCTATTACGTTATTCTGAATGCCACATTTGTAGTTTGGGACAAAGTGATATGATTTAAAGAGCAGATCCAGAGTGGAACGATAGGTCATCTTTGAATCAGTATAGCTGTCGTAGATGTGGAACCCAAGAGTGACATTGGGCAGGATCCCGGGATTATCATTGATCTCATCAACAGCAAACACCAAGGCCAGGATGTGCTGGTAAAACTTGGTCACCACACTGCAAATAAAGTGGCTGGCTATTTCATGGGACTTTTGAACAGTACACAAAGTGGTTTTGTCTCAGTAGTGGTCTACTCTAATCCTAACAATTAAGCTGTCAGAGTATACATATAGGATACAACCAGCAAAGTTAGTCCTTAATGAAGCTCTGTAACAAACGTGGAAAATGCACCCTGACTCCATTTTACTGGATTGTGCTTTCATAAGGATAGGCCCGTTTTGAGCAGTCTGAAGCTCAAATCAGATTTTTAATCTCTCAGCAGATATAGACTGTGGAGATGTCTATAGAAAATGGATTGAGTGTCTTAAATTTCACTTCATGAGTGCTGTCCATTTTGCTCTTTATCACCATAGAGCTTCAGCTACAAATGCCTACTGAAGTGTGCTACAGTTTTTGGAACTATTACCACATTCAGAGCGTTTCTGAACCTGCAAAAACTCTCTCCAGTATTGGACCTCTGTGTGTATCTTTAGAATCCAGATTTTTATAGGCTGAAACCCAGGGGTAACGGAACATAAAAGGAACGTGAGAAACTGCTTCTTATCCAGCACACCAAGGTCAGTATTTTCTTTACAGGCTGCCAACTACTGTAATGTATTCTCCAGTGTTTCAGAGAAGGGTATTTCCTAATCTCATATTTAAAAAACCAGGGACTGAACCTGGGACCTTTGGCATGCACAGCCTGTGCTTTACTGCCGAGCTCTGCTCTGCTCTGTAAAGGAAAAGAGTTATATTTTTGCTCTCGTTCCCAGTTTCCCCTTAGCTTTAAGCCTCTCATTCTGTTCTATAGCGCATCCCTTTTGCTGGTAACCACATTCTACTGGAGATTTAAAATGAAAACATAGTATGAAATAATATATGTGTATTTCCTCACTACATCTTACTCTTCATAGGTTGAAAGCCTAATGATAACCTGTAGGTTGAAAATTAAGGAAATGGGCATTTTAAGCCAAGTCTCTCTATGTGCATATATTTCAATGACTCATCAATGATTAACCATCAACCTCACACCCTGATTTTTGCTGGAAGTCACTGATTATTAGGATATAATATTAGTCTGACTCAGAGAAAATGGACAATTAATTAATTATAATTATTAAATCCACTGCCCAATGTTTAGTATGAATAACTCAAACTAGCTAACAGAAACGTTATTTTATTATTTTCAAAACCTAAACAGGATTATTATTTCAATTCAGTACAGCTAAGAAAATTCACAACAGCCAAAACTAGTTGAATATATAAATTTCTGCAGGAAAAGATTGACAGCAAATATCTCAGGCAGAGAAAGTACCAAAGAATCAATTAACCCCAAGGTCCTTTTTTAAGAGGCAAAGAACACGCTATTAATAATTACAGGTTATGTGTGACAAGCCAGATGAACAATTTTGTAGTCTTACTACATTTCATGCAAGAACCCATTGCACCATTTCAGTATATTTAAAAAGATCCACAGCACATCTTAGCTGAAAATAAAATTGCACATACTATAATGCATGAAAAAGAAGAGGCAATTTAGAGTCACTAAGTGTTGGGGACAGGTGGACATTCTACATATTTGATGCATTTACTGTAAAGCGTTATCTAAAAATAGTACACCAGAAATTTCGACAGAGTGAAAACACGAAAATTATCAAGGATTTCAGGAGTACAAAATACAGAATCATTTAAGGGGCTTGAGTGGCAAAATTAAACTTGGAGGGAAAAATGTATGACATTAAACCCACAAGAAGATAATAAAACATTCAATTTTTAAAGGACATAGCAAGTTCGGTCTTGTCAAACCAGAATGCACCTTAGATTGCAATTTTAGATAGAGCAGCCGGCACATTTGGCCTCATTTGTTCTGATATCATCTGAAATGCCTGTGGGGTCTGCATGTTGGTCATTTTATGTGTCATCCAGTTTTTTTCTCATCTCATCACAATATTTTAAAACTGTTCCCCCCCCTTTCATTCCTCCTAACAAATAAAGCAGGAACGTTGGGAGTCACAAGCTGGTGAGTGAGGAAAAAGCTAATGGCAAGAGTCAATAGTTGTTAGGGCTACACCTTTTCTCTCTCTCCCTGTGATTTATTTCCCATCTCCTGCTTTTCCCCATTCCTCTCTCTCCCTCTCAGATGTTTCACGTCTCCACATGCCTTCTCCTCCATGCCACCCACATGTTATGAAGCTGAGGCCCATGGGGTAAAAGTTCTCCACTCCTGAAATAAAGAACTATAAAGCTTGAATATGTCTGAAAATTTGTGTGAAATACAAAAGCTGCCCCATACTCCCCTTACATAATGGAAGCTCTCTGAGGCTATGTATTATAACAAGACCACAGAGCAATTGGATCACAAAAGGCTAATGTTTCCAAATCTTCAACTGCTAGTATAGGTATAGTCTAAATATAGAGGCATTTGAGTTTTTCATTTTCTTAATGTCCAGCCAGCCAGCCAGCCAGCCATGCAAAAGCAGGTTCATTTCTGGTTTTAAACAGTAATCAAAGCTATTTGCAGACAGCCACACTAATAGAAAGAATTGGTCAAATGAAATCAAGGGACATTTCCTTACGATGGGGTCTTATAGGAGACTTGAGAAGGATGTCTGTTGAATAAGATTTTGGGGAAAACGTAAAGCATATGAGAAACCATCCCACCAATGAGGAGATCACCTGGCTCATACCACTCATGTGGAATATCTACAGGATTATTATTGATGAGCTTAACTGTATGCACTTTGCACAGCAAATCTGGGAGCAGCAAAAGCAGCAGCAGCAACATCCTGTACTGTAACTTCACTTGGAACCTGGGAATTCCAGTTTACAATATTAACTGGTTGATCACTGTAAGAACAGAATGCTGGACTAGAAGGGCCTTTGACCTCATGTGGCAGAGCTGCTAAAATGTCAGGATCTTATTATTACAAATCTGCTGGATTTGAAGATCAGTTGGATGGCATCTGGCTCTGCCAAGGAGCTTCTCAAAGGGCCATCTTCCAATCTTATCCTTAACCTCAACAGCATGCCATATGCATGCCTTGAATGCTAAACAATGCAAGAAGGAAACTAACTAAAATGACAGTGCCCTGCCTCTCTCTTCTCCCTAATATTAGGTGTCCCTGGAACACGTATGTACTTATAATGATTTCAGAAGTGCTTGTTTAACTGTTTTCCACTGTATTCTGGAAAGCACTAGCCAGATGAGTTGATTATGGTGATTTTTGTAATTACTACTGAATTATTTTTTTGTTTACTCCGTTGTGAGCCATCAGTTACAGAACTCCAGAAGTAAATATGTTCAGCAGATTGTAGGTATTACATTTAAGCTCCCATGGTGCATGGATTGTGGCTAGCAATGCTTCAACCTATGGTGACCATGCTCTGTGCAATTCAGCATCCTTTGGGCCAAATGGCTTTGTTTGGTTGAAGTCTTATCCTCCTTCTCTGAACTCTTTTTCAAAAAATATTATATATCTTTATTAATTTCAAATAAATACATTTATGAAAAACAGATGTACATACAAGTAAACAAACATACAATCAAACAAACAAATAACAGAAAAATCAAACAAACCACCACACTATAAGATATAAGAAGATTAATATAATTATCATCATATATATTCTTGGTATTGAACACAATTATTAAATTGATAGAAAAGAAATTTAAAACTGACTTGCAATTAATCTCACTGTACTTTATCTATTCATTACTTTATACGGCACAGTTACATATTTCTTATATAATTTCTTTTTACCTCCCTATAAACTTATATTTGCTAGCTGCAGATATTCTACCATTAGGATTTGCCAATCTTCTGTGTTGGGTATTGTTGTGTTTTTCCAATTTCTTGCTACTAAAATTCTGGCCACTGTTATTCCGTACATGAACAATGTTCTTTTCGATTTCCCTATTTCTTTTGGCAAAATGCTTTAAAAAAAATTTTCTGGCCTCTTTTTGAATGTTAATTTAAATAATTTTTAAAGTTCTTCATATATATTATTCCAAAAAACACAAATATCTGTACATTTCCACCACATATGCAAATTTTTTAAAAAAAGATATTTATTAAGATTTTCCACCATAATACAATAAAAAAATCAAAAAGAGAAAAAAACAAACAATTTTTTTAAAAAAACACATAAAGTTCACAATCCTTATTTTCTATAACATATTTCCCTGACTTCCCCACACCTCCCCCTCTTGTATTCCAGTTCAAATTGTTGGTTCAACAAGTTCTATTTTTAAACCTTTTTAAATTTAGTTCATTTAACAAAGCCAATTTTACCTTATAAAGTTCATATTTATACATCATTGCTTATTCTTTAAACCTTTTTCTAAAGGCGGCCTAAATTCCCTTCCATGGTTTCCCCAATTTTCATACAAATATCCAAACAAAATAAAAACAGAACAAGTTAAATTATACACCCTTTGGATTCCCAGACTCCACCCCCACTTTCCCGGTTTCAATCCCCAACAAACATCCATCAGTCAATCTAGTATCAGCCTGGAGATCTCACGTCCGAGGCTCTTAATTCTCTCTCAATTCCTCTCTGCCGGTTTTTTTGGTAGTCCTTGGTATTAAACACCAAATCTCGGGGAAGCTCTAGCCCAATAAGGTCCATGTTTCTTCCAGCCAGACCTCCATATTTAAAGGTGGAGCCTGAATCTTGCTTCTTACTCCTTTCAAGTCCAAATGTCTCCAAAGCTCCACCTTCCACCTTAATCAAATTTGTAATCCTTAGGTCTTCAGATCTCCACATAAGGAGATCCATCCATTCTTCAGTTTCCAATTCAAACCAGATTTTCACCATCAAGTTCTTATTTTCCTTTGTAGCCATCATGTCAGGCCTCTGGTCTTCTTTTGTCTTCAACAACATTACAGCTCCTCCTTCCTTTCTCTCAGGAACAACATATATCTCTTTCTCCTCACTCTCAAATCTCTCAAGTTTCTCTTCTTGGCCAGCTGCATAAGCTTCCTGAATCAAATCCTTATCAAATTCAATGAATTTGTTTACTGTTAAGTCCAGAGTTGCAACATTTGTAGCCAAAACATCCACTTGTCCTTGTAGCTTTCCCAAGAGAGCAAAGACTCTGTCCAACTTAGCTTGAATTATCCCTCCTTCAGCCATTCTTGTAATGTCCCAAAACCCCCTCTAGAGGGATTTTGGTTACTTAGTATTCCTTTCAGTTCAAATCCAAAAATCAAATTAGTTTGTATCAGTTCTTCCTTATTTTCAACAAAGTATAATCAAATTGTCACAAATATAGCCAGCAGAAGCAGTAGAAACAAAGTTCTCTTTTTCCGTCTTGACAGCTAGTTTGACAGCTGTCAAATTCTTCAGTGTCTTTTCAACAGGCTCTCTCGCGGATCACTCCCGGGCCTGAGGGGGGGGTGGTACCTTAGCTCCCAAAATTAGCTCTTATCCTCCAGTACAATTACTTATAGTGCCAAATCGTGAAGTTAGTGTCTTTTGCCCAAAAAGAAATGATTCTCTTGACCTTAGTTAGCAGGTCCTTGTTTTAAGTTGTTTACAGGACGGGGAGACGGATTTCCTGTTTACATCTTCCCCGATCGTGCCTAATTCAAAAAGAAATTTTCTTTGCTAAGTCCAAATTCCGTACTACTCACGGGTTGTTGTTTTGAAGTCTAATTCACAAGAAGAAGTCAGCGCTCTCCGGCCATGGCAGCATGGCTTCACTCCGCAGGAGAAGCAGTCGACTCTCAGCACCGCGCCACTCACCCCGTCCCCCATTCTGTAGCCTTTAAAAAGGCTCCTTCACGGGTCGGGGGGCGCTAATGGTGCCCGCCGAGTCACCAAGTTCACAGGCTTCACCGCCTGTGATTTCTGAGGGTCCCCGCGTCGCCGCGGCGGCAAGACCCAACTCCTACGGAGCCGATTCCCTCCGGAGCTCGGAGGGAATCCGTCATTAGCCAATGGCGCTAACCCGGAAGTCTCCACCACATATGCAAATAAGACCCAATTTCTTTATTACATCTCCAACATATAGATGATCTGTTCTTATACATTTTAGCAAGTTTTTCTGGAGTTTGGTGCCATCTATACATCATCTTCATTGTGTTTTCCCTGAGATTGTAGCAGGCTGAGAATTTTATGTCTTCTCTTCCCGCCATAATTTTTCCCATTGTTCCATGTAAATATTATAGCCCAAATCTTGCACCCATCTCACCATTACAGCTTTCACTTGTTCTTCCTTTACCTCCCATTCCAATAGGAGGTTGTATACCCGTGAGATATATTTTCCTTTACTTTGTATCAATTCTTTTTCAAATGTTGATGTTTCTTTTGCAAGTCCTGCTTTTTTATCAATGGTTAATCTTTGATGTATTTAAAAATATTGCAGCCAGTCTGTTAGATACCCTTTAGTTTCTTCATATTTTTTCAATATACGGTAGGTTCATCCTGTTGTCCTTCTAATAATAATCGGTATGTGGCCCATTCCCCATCCATATTCTTTTTCTTAACTGCCTGTGCTTCTGTAGGTGATCTCCACGGGGGAATCCTGGGTTCTAGTATTCCGTTATATTTTGACCAGATCTAATATAATGATTTCCTTATTAAATGGTTCAAGAAGCCCCTGTGGACCTTTACCTTCTCATATATTAAATAGGCATGCCACCCATACCAATTATCATATCCCTCCAAATCTAATACATCAAAATCCCTTAATGTTATCCAATCTTTAATCCATAATAATGCTGCAGCTGCATGGTATAGCTCTAGATCAGGGAGCGCGAAGCCTCCTCTCTCTCTTTTATCTGTTAACAGTTGGAAATTTTTTCTCTGCTTTTTTCTCATTCTCTGAACTTTGCCCCCCTACTAATATTAATTGAGAACCAAAGCTAGCTTCAGTTTTTGCTGTCATAAATCTATCATGGAAGGCAGGTTGTGTGAGTGTTCAAGGCAATGAAAAGTAGATTAAAATAAAAAATATACACACTCAGGCATATTGGGCATGAAGGGAGATTTCCTGTCACCTGATTCTTCAAAGTCACAAGAGTTCAGAGAAGGAGAGTAAGACTTCAACCAAACAGAGCCATTTGGCCCAGAGGATGCTGAAGTGTACAGATCATAGTCACCATAGGTCGAAGCATTGCTAGCCACAGTCCCTGCACCATGCGAAGCTTACCCAGATAAGACAGAGGAAGGACAAATGAGCACTATGTAAGTTTGCAAGCAAACTCACATTAGAGTGATTTTCTTTGTACGATGAGGTTTAAACTGTTGCAGGACCCCACATCAATTAATACAGTTGTTATTGAAAACAGGAAAAAAATGAATCTCCAACTAGCACAACAGGGCTTTCTCTCCTCTCCAGCCTCTGCATGCTCCCCACACCTTCCACAAGACACACACACACAAACTGTGCACAAGAGGACAAAAGGTTATTCCTTCCCCAATTTGGCATGCAGCAATGCTTGTGGAACCATCTCCCCAATGTTACATTAAATTCTCCCCTCACTCTGGGTAGAAAAACTTTCTCTACCCTCATTGTCCCAATTCCCAAGAAATAGAATTAATGGATCTGAAAGTTCCTCTCGTATCTTTGAGAGTAGCAATTATTTCATCACAAGGATTTTAGATCTTGATGCTAAAATGTAATATCCACAATCAGCTGAACATATTTACTTCTGGAGTTCTGTAATTAATGACTCACAATGGAGTAAAGAAATAATAATTCAGTTGTCATTATCTCCCCAGTAATTATAAAAACCACCATAATCAACTCATCTGACTAGAGCTTTCCAGAATACAGTGGAAAACAGTTAAACAAGCACTTCTGAAATCATTATAAGTACATACGTGTTCCAGGGACACCTAATATTAGGGAGAAGAGAGAGGCAGGGCACTGTCATTTTAGTTAGTTTCCTTCTTTCATTGTTTAGGTCAAGCTTCAAATCAGTGTTCCTAATTAGCATTCAAGGCATGCATATGGCATGCTGTTGAGGTTAAGGATAAGATTGGAAGATGGCCCTTTGAGAAGCTCCTTGGCAGAGCCAGATGCCATCCAACTGATCTTCAAATCCAGCCGATTTGTAGTAATAAGATCCTGACATAATAGCAGCTCTGCCACATCAGGTCAAAGGCCTTTCTAGTCCAGCATTCTGTTCTTACAGTGATCAACCAGTTAATATTGTAAACTGGAATTCCCAGGTTCCAAGTGAAGTTACAGTACAGGATGTTGCTGCTGCTGCTTTTGCTGCTCCCAGATTTGCTGTGCAAAGTGCATACAGTTAAGCTCATCAGTAATAATCCGGTAGATATTCCACATGAGTGGTATGAGCCAGGTGATCTCCTCATTGGCGGGATGGTGTCTCATATGCGTTATGTTTTCTCCAAAAGCTTATTCAACAGACACCCTTCTCAAGTCTCCAATAAGACCCCATCGTAAGGAAATGTCCCTTGATTTCATTTGACCAATTATTTCTATTAGTCTGGCTGTCTGCAAATAGCTTTGATTACTGTTTAAAACCAGAAATAGACCTGCTTCTTCATGGCTGGCTGGCTGGACGTTAAGAAAATGAAAAACTCAAATGCCTCTATATTTAGACTATACCTATACTAGCAGTTGAAGATTTGGAAACATTAGCCTTTCATGATCCAATTGCTCTATGGTTTTGTTATAATACATAGCCTCTGAGAGCTTCCATTATATAAGGGGAGTATGGCGCAGCTTTTGTATTTCACCCAAATTTTCAGACATGTTCAAGCTTTATAGTTCTTTATTTCAGGAGTGGAGAACTTTTACCCCATGGGCCTCAGCTTAATAGCTTATGGGTAGCATGGAGGAGAAAGCATGTGGGGAAGTGAGACAGCTGAGAGGGAGAGGGAGAGAGGAATGGGGAAAAGCAGGAGGTGGGAAATAAATCACAGGGAGACAGAGAGAAAGGTGTAGCCCTAACAACTATTGACTCTGGTCATTGGCTTGTTCCTCACTCATTCCCAACATTCCTGCTTTATTTGTTAGGAGGTGCAAAGAATGAAAGGGTGGGGGAAACAGTTTTTAAAATTATATTGTGATGAGATGAGAAAAAAACTGTGGATGACACATAAAATGACCAACATGCAGACCCCAAGGTATTTCAGATGATAACAAACAAATGAGGCCAAATGTGCTGGCTGTTCTATTTAAAATTGGAATCTAAGGTGCATTCTGGTTTGACAAGATCGAACTTGCTGTGTCCTTTAAAAGTTGAATGTTTTATTATCCTCTTGTGGGTTTAATGTCATACATTTTTTCCTCCAAGTTTAATTTTGCCACTCAAACCCCTTAAATGATTTTGCATTTTGTACTCCTGAAATCCCTGATAATTTTCATTTTTTCACTCTGTCGAAATTTCTGGTGTACCATTTTTAGATAATGCTTTACAGTAAATGCATCAAATCTGTAGAATGTCCACCTGTCCCCAACACTTAGTGACTCTAAATTGCCTCTTCTTTTTCATGCATTATAGTATGTGCAATTTTATTTTCAACTGAGATGTGCTGTGGATCTTTTTAAATGTACTGAAATGGTGCAATGGGTTCTTGCATAAAATGTAATAAGACTACAAAATAGTCTTACTACATAACGTGTAATTATTAATTATTATTAATATTGTGTTCTCTGCCTCTTCAAAAAGGACCTTGGGGTTAAATGATTCTTTGGTACTTTCTCTGCCTGAGATATTTGCTGTCAATCTTTTCCTGCGGAAATGTATATATTCAACTAGTTTTGGCTGTTGTGAATTTTCTTAGTTGTAGTGAATTGAAATAATAATCCTGTTTAGGTTTTGAAAATAATAAAATAACGTTTCTGTTAGCTAGTTTGAGTTATTCATACTAAACATTGGGCAGTGGATTTAATAATTATAATTAATTAATTGTCCATTTTCTCTGAGTCAGACTAATATTATATCCTAATAATCAGTGACTTCCAGCAAAAATCAGGGTGTGAGGTTGATGGTTAATCATTGATGAGTCATTGAAATATATGCACATAGAGAGACTTGGCTTAAAATGCCCATTTCCTAAATTTTCAACCTACAGGTTATCATTAGGCTTTCAACCTATGAAGAGTAAGATGTAGTGAGTAAATACACATATATTATTTCATACTATCTTTTCATTTTAAATCTCCAATAGAATGTGGTTACCAGAAAAAGGGATGCGCTGTAGAACAGAATGAGAGGCTTAAAGCATCCTAGAAGGAAGCAGGCATTTGTGTAATGAAACGACTTGCTAAGGGAAAACTGGGAATGAGAGCAAAAATATAACACTTTATTTACAGAACAGAGCAGAGCTCAGCAGTACAGCTCAGGTTGTGCATGCCAAAGGTCCCAGGTTCAGTTCCGGGTTTTTCAAATATGGGATTAGAAAATACCCTTCTCTGAAACACTGGAGAATACATTAGCTGGCAGCCTGCAAAGAAAATACTGACTTTGGTGTGCTGAATATGAAGCAGCTTATCACATTCCTTTTATGTTCACTTAACCCTGCGTTTCAACCTATAAAAAGCTGGATTCTAAAGATACACACAGAGGTCCAGTACTGGAGGAAGTTTTTGCAGGTTCAGGAACTCTCCAAATGTGGTAATAGTTCCAAAAACTGTAGCATGCATCAGTAGGCATTTGTAGCTGAAGCACAATGGTGATAAAGAACAAAATGGACAGCACTCATGAAGTGAAATTCAAGCCAATCTATCCATTCTCTGTAGACATCTCCACAGTCTATATCTGCTGAGAGATTAAAAATCCGATTTGAGCTACAGACTGCTCAAAACAGGCCTATCCTTATGAAAGCACAATTCTGCCTTTCTTATAGCGCTTCTTTAATGACTAATTATGCTGGTTGTACCCTATATGTATACTCTGGCAGCTTAATCATTCTGATTAGAGTAGACCACTACCGAGACAAAACTACTTTGTGTACTGTTCAAAAGTCCCATGAAATAGCCTGCCACTTTATTTGCAGTGTGGTGACCAAGTTTTACCAGCACATCCTGGCCTTGGTGTTTGCTGTTGATGAGATCAATGAGAATCCCAGGATCCTGCCCAATGTCACTCTTGGGTTCCACATCTACGACAGCTATTCTGATTCAAGGATGACCTATCGTTCCACTCTGGACCTGCTCTTTAAATCACATCACTTTGTCCCAAACTACAAATGTGGCATTCAGAATAAAGTATTAGGAGTAATTGGGGGACTTGAGTCTGATATTTCTTCACGCTTGGCAGACATTTTAGGTCTTTACAGGATTCCACAGGTAGGATTTGAGCCTGGGGATAAGATGGATTTCTTTAATCTTCCACTATAATTCACTCTCTTTCCAGTAGGAACTTGAATGGGGAAAAGTAAAATCTGAATTATGTGGAACTGATTGGGGGGGGGTATAACATGGATAATCAGAGATGTGAATGATAAGGGCAAGATGGCTTTCTGAATTCTATTAAATTAACTCTATTGTATGTAACGGGAATTGTTGCACAAAGTGATATAAGTGAGCAAAAGTGGGTGGGTGTGTCTATCTGTCCCTATAAAATAATGCAGAGTTTCACTTTAATTGTTGGAAATTTATAAGATTGCAGTGTAAAGGGAAAAAAATAATAAATGTAAGAATTATGGACCACTGATTCCATTCTAAAATGTCTGATTGTTGTTTTAGATTTCATATGGTTCATTTGAAACAGCAGCCATTGATCAGATAAAGTTCCCTTCCTTTTACCGCATGGTTCCCAACGAAGGCCTTCAGTATCAGGGAATTATCCAGTTACTTCAGCATTTCAGATGGAAATGGGTCGGGCTCATTGCTATAAACGACAAAGGGGGAGAAACATTCTTGCAGACCATAGAGCCAATACTTTCCAAGCATGGAATATGTTCAGCATTCACAGAAAGAGTTCAAAAACATACATATTTCTCAGGTAATGGACTTGAAATGGTTGATGACCTACTGAATAATTTGCCAACTTTCATGAAAAGCAAAGCAAATGCAGTTATTATATATGGAGAAAGTGCAACTGTTCGATGGTTGGGAGGTGTTATAGGAGTAGTTAAGATACTTCAACAAATCAATCCACAGTATAAAAAGACGTTATCTCCAGAAAAGGTTTGGATTACGACAGCCCAAATTGATTTTACATTGTACACTTTTCAAAAGATTACAGAGGTTGATAGACAAATGTTCCATGGTTCTATCTGCTTCTCAATTCATGCAAAGGAGCTTCGGGATTTCGAACAATTTCTTAAGAATATAAATCTTTCATGGGCAGATGCAGATGGTTTTATCAACGATTTCTGGGAACAAGCATTTAGTTGTTCACTTTCAAATTCCACTGGGCCAGCAGACAAATGCACTGGGGAGGAGATGCTGGAGAGCCTTCCTGCACCATTTTTTGAAATGAGCATGACTGGCCATAGCTACAGTATCTATAATGCTGTCTATGCTTTGGCACAAGCCTTACATATGACTTCCTCAACTAAAACCAATTTCAGAAAAATGGAGGGTGGAGACAAGCTATTTTATCAGAAAGTGGAACCCTGGAAGGTAATGTTTCTGTACTGACAGTTCTATGATACCAATATTCCATTAACAAAGCAATGTCTACAGAACATGAGCACCCAGCTCTTGTCATGCTTTTCAGATTCTTCCCTTCCCTTCAGATGATAATGTTTATACCCTAACTTATCCTCCATTATTCTTTTTGAAAGTTCTTTTGATTGCAACTTCAACTGAATTTAAAGTGATTCATGATTTTCCACTCTCTTCCTTTGCTGGCTATGGAAGTCAGAAACTTTCCATTGTGTAAAGGTTCTCTGAAAAAGAAAAATAAGTAAAATCCATCTAGAAAAGCTATTTCAATAACCAATTCCTATTTTTGTTAGTCCATTTGATTCTCTTTCACTTTCCACCTAGCTCCATTCATTTCTTCAAGGAATGTCATTCAACAACAGTGCTGGAGATGAAATTACATTGAATGAACATGGAGAATTGGACACTGGATTTGATATTACAAATTTGATCACATTCCCAAATAAATCCTATGTCAGAGTCAAAGTGGGAAGGCTGGACCCTCAGGCTCCTCCTGGCAAAGAATTCACCATTGATGAGGCCAGAATTGAATGGCACAGAAGTTTGACTCAGGTGGATAATAATGCATTTTTTTATTTTTTTATTGTTGTTGTTGTTGTTGTTGTCTAGCCAGATCTTCCCAGCCTCTCTGGGTGCTTTCCAACAGGTTATTAAAAACAAAAAAAAGTTAAACATTAAACACTTCCCTAAATAGGAAGTGTCTTCTAAAAGTCAAGATAGTTGTTTATTTCCTTGACATCTGATGGGAG